ATTTTGACTACTACTCTCAGCACTTTCCAAGCGCCAGTTGCAAGGTCACAAAAGCTTCCATATTAATCGAGCTAGCAACCGTTCTGATCAGTCTATTGTATCGTGCATGTCACGCAGATGAAATATCTTGAAAAAAGAATCTTCCTGTAGTCTCATTATTGTATATATGTTGAAGGCTGATTTGGTGAGAACCATTGTGCATACACAGGACATGAATGCAAACCTGGAGAGTGCTCCGCTTTGATTGGTAACCTCAAAATTGTAATTTGTGCATATGGTAAACTATCTCCAACTTGGGAAGAAATGTCTTGGAATCAGACATTATTTTCTTAAAACAAAAAAAAAACAGTACGAAACAAGCCCATAGTATTTTGCAGACTGTCTCCCACGTAAACTATCAACTGTCTCGCATGCTTGGGCAGGTCAACAAGAAGTGATCGTTTCAAAGTACCTCGAAGTACTAATTTTTTCCATGCACAATGCTCAGGGAATAAGGTGTAGCAACCAAACAAGCGTGTAGTATTTTGCAGATCTGCTTTTGTCAAGTTGGTGGGAAAGCGTATTTCATGCGATAGGTACCGGGTCTCTGGAAACATCAAACCACCAAGTCTATGTGCATGCTCCGAATTCGCATGCCTAGGCCTACTGGCTTGCCCTGAATTCTTGATGCATCTCAGTCCAAATCGGAAAACCAAAATGAAAATATCACCACGTATTTGTACATACGAGGCAAACATGAGAGAACCAGAAGATATGCATCAAGTTAGCTTGGGTGTTAGCATGTGGTTGCCATTACTCTACCGATATGAGTTATGTAACCACTAGATCGATCGAGCTCCTTATGTGCGTGGTATTTTTCTGTTTATTTATATAGAACCTAATTGAAGCAACCTAGTTCTCAACCTCTCAAGCCCATATATGTGCACAATAAAGTGCATCAAGCTAATTCATACGTAGTAATCGTCATATTTTCAAAATAAAAATAGCACTACCTCTCAAGCAAATTAAATGCATGACTGTATATATGTTCCAGTCCACCTACTAGCAGAAAAAAGAATTTTGCTCTTTAGATAAAAAGCTATACGTCCAGCTTCACTTAAAGGCCAATAAATAACACAAGCCATGTCTTCCGCAGGCAACATATCTGGAATACCATAGTCATGCGTTGGGCAACTATCAAGGTGATGTCAAGGACAAAGAGAGGAGGGAACTCAACTTTTGTTTCTTGAATAGAGGGGCCTGGCTATCTTTCATATGACCTCCATTCAAAATGATGTGGCTCCGAAAGCCATCTTAAACAATTAGCGCTACTTTAAAGATTTACAGAATCAAATGATATTATTAAGCATGTGGTCATGCACGTTTAAATATTGTAGGTGCAAATGTATGAATGTTTGCAAATCTCTTAGCATGGTGCATGAACTCTCAAGGCCTACTTGTGCCACCACATGTTTTTTTCTTGTGATCAAAGAGTGCTTGCATAATTAAAAAAATCGCAACTTAAAAAAATAATTATTTTACACTTGAAAAAAATAATTATTTCCAAAATATGCACGTCACATTTAAAACAAATGTGGATAAAATGTAAAAAAGTGTATGTGGCATTCAAAGAAAGGTTACAATGCAAAAACATGTTCGCGTAGTTTAAAAAAATGTTCAACGTGTAGTTGAAAAGGTTTTAACCTATGTTCCAAAAAATGTTCAAGGCCGGTATTTGAATAAAAATGTACATGGTGTATTTAGAAAATGTTTAACATGTATAAAAAAGCATGCATACTAGAAAAGTATAAATATGTATTTAAAAAATTAGACATGTGGTGAAAATTTTAGAAAAATAAAAAAACAGAAGAAAACAGGTGAGGAAACACAGAAAACCAAAAACCCAACAAAAGCCGGTGAAGATGAAGAAAACAAAAATACTGGTAAAAATACAGAGAGAAAAAAAAACTCAAGCCAGGGCGCTACAGTACTGGGCCGGCCTACTCCGTCGCGCTAATTTCCGGCGCCTTGACGAGGAGCTCTAAATTCCTTGGGTTTGCAAGCCCAGGCGGAACGGGTTGGGCCCTGCTTACTACTATTTCGGCTTCTGCTCTGTGTGAGTGTGGGTCGGGTATCCTCCTCGCCAACTGCAGAGGAAAGAGGAGAGATGGAGAGACGGAGTACGCGGCGGCGAAGACGATGGCGACGGGAGGGAAGGGGCTGAACGCGACGGGCGAGTTTTTCCGGCGCCGTGACGGATGGAGGAAGCACCCTATGGTGGGGAACCAGCTGCGCCACGCCACTCCGGGGCTCGGCATCGCCATCGTCGCCTTTGGGATCTACCTCGTCGGGGAGGCCGCCTACAACCGCCTCTACCACCCCGCCGTGACCGGCGACAACCGCCACTAGATCGCCCCCAGAGGTAACCGGCCCGTGTGGTCTTCACTTTTTTCCGAGTCAAACAATAATGTGTGAATTTGGGTTGATTTCAATCAGGCTGTAAGGGTTGCTGGGGGCGTTTCGCCTAGATCTGTCCATTGGGGACTGACTGTGTGGTACTGTCTTCTTTGGAACGGATTATGGAATTTACATGTTGGAAATAAACTGCAGCTCTGATTCGACCAAGTTGTTTGTGATTATTATGTGCTTGTGGCATAGTTGATGTTATAATTTGCAAAAGAATGGACCGAAATGCATCGCCTGCACGCATAACGATTCATTAATTGATTATAGTTAGTTTCTGCCCAGCATATGGTGATTCTGATCACCAGTCTGAGTTGCATGTATGGCAACCGCACATCAATAGCTACTATAGCCATGCCGTGCTTCGCTTGTAGGCAGCTCAGTGTATGTATGAATTTGTTTTACCTGCTTTTGTTGTTTCTTTGATTTATTTTTTTGTCTTTTTTATATTCGAAGGAGTTCTGTAAATTTAAGATATGCAGAGTGCAGCTATTTCTGTGATGATTGCTTCAGTAGTTTCATTCTGCTTCCTGCTTGTGATATTCCACCCAATTTGTGTGGGATGGTCCTTGTGCTGTACCGAGGTGTACGATTAAGAATTGGCCGATCTAATGTCATGGTAAGTATGAACCCTGGGTCACAGTGGTACATTTGAAATAATACTATTCCGCTGAGGAAATCGGCCTCGGTTAATTTACCTGCCACTGCACCAATCATTGCTAGATTTTGTGGCATGCCCAACTATCCAGCATCAGATGCTTAACTTGTACATTACACAATAAGATCAATTATTAGTGTTGCTCTTATGCATTTAGTAAGACAAATTTGTATATAGAGAAGGATATGTAATATGTTGATGGCATTTCATGCTACTAATTAAAATGGAAGTATCTATTTAGTATATAGAGAGCATATATGTTATTATTCGACCTGTCCACAAGTGGGAAGGGATACTTCAGTTTGGATAGCATGGCAAATTCAGTATAACACTAATAAAGCATAAGCTTGAGTGCATCTAAATTAAGAGAGTGAAAAAGTAAACGTTCCATTAAAACACTCTAGTAAAGAATGACTGAACAGCGCGGCAAATGAAATCTGTACGAATTATTCAGAGAAATTTGCAGGCAAACACATTAAGATAGTTTGTTAAATGTCGTCCTTGTTGGCTGACCTTGTTTGTTCTGCTAAGATATCTAAAGGTGAATAGCAAAATGCAGGGGTGTTCGATAAAAACTGGTAAATAGAAAATGAAAAACAACACATAGGCATGTTAATTATAGGCTGAAATATGGATTGTTTTGACATAGTTAGCAATATAAGGGGGCTTTCTACAAAGACTGTTTATTTAGGCATCTTCCCAAGCTCGGAAATGGACAGAGATTTGGAGCTTTTCTGTTCTTGAGAGAGTTCTAGGGTAGGGAGAGAAGTGGTGTCACTTCATCTACAGATCCATTCATGTTTGAGTGCTAAAGTTGGTGTCACCTTGTACTTGATTCATTTCTATATTATACTAGATCTAGGAGTACAGAGAACTATCTTATATAATAGATATTTCTGCTTGCATTCATCAATGAGTGTTACTAGCTACGATTATGTAGAGCTGGAGCACACTAGTAGGTGACAGTAAAACGCAAGACTCTTCTATCTTATAACATATGCATTCCTAGCTCATGTACATGTTGAGTGTATCTCCTCTCATGTTCATGGATTAGGCTTGGGAGACAAAGGGAATTCAGGGTGTGCGTGGGTAGTGGAGCTTGCTTGCAAAATCAAACGCCATTATGACTTCATTGGCACTCTGCTCCCCTGGAAAGAGAACGCTTGAACGCTAATATGCTCCCTTGGAAAGAGGACGCTAGTGTGTTCAAGTCAATCTGTCGATGGGTCCTCGCGGAACACGCTTTCCAACACAGAGAAGTAAGCAACGTCGTATATCACGCAGAAGAGAGTACGACCACGAAGAATAGAGCACTGAGTTCGCAACACAGAGACATCAACAACTTTGTGTAGATTTGTCTGAACTCTAAACTCAAAAACCGCAACGGTGCTTCCTTGCTTAATGCATTTGGCCGAATCAAAAGGTGTCACAAATTAAAAAAATGTGTAAAAGGACAGCTAATCCACACAATCAGTCGTGTCATGTACTGCATAGATTTAGGCCCTGCTTTGATGTCATTACTCCTTGCATCAGGTCCTGGTTGTTGATTTGCCAGAGTACTCCCCTGTTTTCTTTAAAAAACATACAAATAATACTTAATTTGATATGGTAATGTGCTTTCCGACTGAGTGATGTACTTCTGCTGCAAACAGTAGGTCGGTATGCTTTCACGCTATATACATGATCCCACAAGGTAGCACAAGGAGCCATATGAGCTCTATGGGTAGCTAAAGCATGAGCCACCCAATTGCAAACACGCTTACATTGTAGGATCTTAAAATAAATCTAAACGAACCGGAGGAAGAATTTCTCCTTCATGACATGACATCTCATGTTTGTTGGACTGGAGAGCAGCCATGAATACAGATGCATCCGTTTCCATAATGATGCGATCCGTTCCAACTTCAGCTGCAAACTCAAGTTCCTTTAGGTACACAATCATCTCCGCATGGAGAGCATCGACTAAACGATGAAGAATATGAGAGCCCGAGCGATGGACCATGCCAATGCAGTCACACACACAGAAGCCCTCGCAGCCCATGTACTTGTCTCATGGAGGAGATCTTTAGATGGAATGCTCCATAGATCAGTACATGAAAACAGTTTGCGTGCTCCTACAAAGATGACTATATGCGCACTTGCAGCAAAGAATCAACATTTTGCAAAGCACTATTTTAGACGAAAATCCATCGGGCCGTGCTTTAAAGGAAGCAAAGGTTTAAACCGGGGAAACCAGAGATTACATAGTGTCGAAGTCTTACAGACAAACCCCATCCGAAGACAATCAAAAGCAAAGACACATATAGTGTTCACACGCTGAACAAAGACTTACAAAACATACTGGCCATATTACCGCACGATCAGGACTGTTTCCTCTTGTGTTGTGTGCAAAGTTGGAAAAGAGTCAAATCTGGCTGCGCATGAAACTGCCACTTCAGTTAATCCAAAGGGACTTATTTTTATTTGGCAATGTGCCAATTACGGGTAAGTTACTTTTTCCGCTGTGCGCGAGGGAGTGAAGAGTGTATGCTCTAAGAGGCCGAGCCATGGGCGAGTGGGAGTCGTAGATAGCCGGCGGGAGTGAGTCTGAA